AAATTCAAACAAATAAAGATAACTTTTATATAATTTTACAACAATAAAATTATCAGTTCATTAACAGTGTTAAATAATATCTAAACATTTGTAAATAATTGTGATAATTATTTGAACGTTTACAATTCATGACAAATATTGCTCCGAAATTACTGATTTATCAATTGTAGTGTTTTGCATCTTTAACAGAGTGATCTGTGGAAAATACTAACATTATAAAAACATGCTTTATTTGATAGAAATATTGTCAGAGCATAACATTAACAAGTATGGATATTATGTGCCTTAGAACCCTTGCTTCGAATATTCTCAAAAATGGATATCCTGAAAGTATTGCAAGTGATATTTGAAATTCCTGAATTAGAACCATGCATGATATGCAATGAAGAAATTTTTTTACATCTACTTAAAAAATCTTTCACTGTATTAACTTGTGGCCACATCTTCCATCATCTTTGTCTTGAAAATATTAGAGAAAATATGCCCATTTGTCTTGGCAAAAATTGCATCACTGAAATTGAAATTGTCAAAAAATCACCACTAATACAAAAGTTGTCCCATAGAAGTATGAGCATAGATGGGTCACAAGAAAAATTATTCAATCCAGAAATCAGCAATGCTTTTGCAGAGAATGATCCATCTTGTCTAGACACAATTGCAGAAGAGGACTCCAATAATAATCAATCGCAAAATATGGAATCTGATATACCTGGAACATTGACTGCAAGTACTTTGCCATCCAAGTGTGTTGGGAATCCTACATCTGCTGACAAGCCCTCCAGTAAAAAAGCCAAGAAGCAGAGTAAGAAAGAAGAATCTCCTATATTGAAAAAACTTATTGAAGAACTATTAACTACTGCACCTGAAATTCTTGAGGAAGTAATAGAAGTCAGTGAGAATACGAATAATTTTTTATATCACTATAGAAAAATTTTACATGCTGAATCTAAACATATAATTGCAAATAGGGAAGTAATGTAAAGAAATTTAAATTTAATTAATATGTCACACAACATTGATGGGGCTGTGCAATGAAATTATTTTTAGAATTTCCAAGCCATGTTGGAAAGTATAAAAAAATTAAAAAAAATAATTCAATATATTAACCTTTTTGTGTAATTCAGATTTTGGCCACATTAACAAAAAATTATCTCATTTGAAGTATAAATTGTTGAATGACTAATATGTCAAGACTTCACTACTTCAAAAATAAGTTTCATGGGACTTGGAAGGTTTTCTCAGTTGGAGTATGTTCTATGCCATCGATTTTGGAAATAAAGATATGGAACATCATACCTACAGGACGTATTTAGAAGCAATTTTGAATGACCTGAAACTATTAGAACCTCATGATAGTGAAACAGCTTGGGAGTTAGCAGAAGAAGCTTTAAAGAAATTTAAGGTTTGAAACTTTTGTTTATTTTAATCATGAAGAGCCCAGAAGGTACTAGGATATGTCTATCAGGCACCTTTAGGATACATCTGAATGGGTTTTTGATCTTTTCTATTTTATTCATTAGAAAGAGGCAAATTCAGTTAAAATCGGCATCTTCTGGAGCAATTGTCCATCTTTTTTAGAAAAATTGAATACAGCAGTGAGCCTCAATACTAACAAGATGATTGATTGAGTTTCAGAATTACATGAGGACATCAGCAATACAATTTTCAGTATCACGCAAGATAAATTACATTTTGGTAATACTATTTAATTTTCATATATATATGTATTCTTCTCTGAATAATGATGAATATTGGCAATATTGCTAGAACATAAGTGAGTCAGTTCTCATGAAGAAGAGTCAGTTGAATCACAAAAAAAGAAAGTGTTATCAAGAAAAAGGGTTGGTATATAGCTTAAATTTTTGTCTGCAAAAAAACCCCTTTTACAGAAGTAATCAAGTTTAATTTCTTTAGGGGGATACTTTACCAGATGGAACTAAAATTAAGAAATTGGCTGTTTCCAGATAAGAAGATTCCTCTGAAGAGCATGATGGTGAGGATAACAAACAAGATGATGACGAAGATGTCCCAGCTCCTGAAGAAACTCTCGATTCTATACTTAGTAGTAAAAAAAAAATGGATTCTGCCCTCTGGTAAAAATGTTGGTGATATTACTGCCAGAAACATATCTGCAAATGCAAAGGCAATTCAAAAGAAGAAGAAAACATCAGCCATAGAAAGAGCCATATTATGTTACAGATCATCATGAATAATTGATTTATTGACAAATATGAAGGATTGGTTCTCCATTGATGACAGGAAATTCATGATGAAAAATCACAATGCTATATTGCAAGTTCCTGAGATGGCAGTTGAAGAAAGGTCATTTGTAACAACAGTTGAGAATGTATGTGCATTTTTTTCGAGTTTACTTGTTCTTATGTACATGCATATTGACTCATTATCCTTATACAGATGATGATATGTGAACAAAAAGCAAACTAGGTGTATGAGTTTTGTATTAAGATCATCAGGAAATTTTTCTGATGTGGATTTATGTAATTATTACACTATTTATGTAAGTTTATGGTGGGCCCATAATATTATGCAAATAAGCATACAAAAATTATGCAATTATTACATCGAGTGCAAATATTACATAATTTTTATGCAAATATTACAACTTTACTTACATATTAAAATTTACAGACATAATATTGCGGCGGGGAAAATTTCCTGATGATGCACATTAATTCCAAAGAGAACAGCTAAATGTACAAACTTGGTAAAATATATTCTGACTTGTGAGTAATTTGATATACTACATATTTTTTCTATTATTTATTCTTTCTTTTTGTGATTTAATTTTGTGTTCAGTATTTATAGATGCAAAGACCAAATAGATATGTTGGGTTATGAACACACAGAAATTGATGTAATTCTGAAGACCTGTTTGTATGTCATTGAAGGATTGAACAAAGGCCTTGTAATTAGTGATGTTAGCCGTTTAAAAATCCTTAGCCGGCTAAGCCATTTACTATCTAAATTGGTAATTTTATTTCTATAACAAGAAAGTAACACAGAAATCTATTACCAAATTTAGAAATTATGCATGCAG